CAATATAGAGGATTGTGACCTTATAGAATTAGCAGCACTTGTGCAATCACATCAAAATGTCAGCGTCCCAAAAAAAGCCTTTTCGGTGCGTCAAATACGTACTCATGAACGTTTTGGTTATACTGAATATATATACGATGTAAATGTAGGTAGCAATCATATGGAGAGTTTACCAGATTTTTTGGTAAATTTACGTCGTGTGTTTGATTATTTAATAAATACCATGTTGTATTATGCTCAGACGAATACGGATAAGGCAAGATTTTTTATCTCGAATGCCCCACGTACCCCTTTTTCCACAAGCGTATTAACCGTAACGGATTTTACAACCGACATGTTTTTTAATATTTTCGAGAAACACATGCAGAGTAATGCAGAAGAGATTATAAATAATGGCTGGAATACTACCGTCAGTTTGTACATTTTTCCAAATAATTATGTTTCGCGTAATAAAACGTCACAGGTAAAAAAGAAAACAAAACAAAATAAATTGTATAAATATTTTGGTAAAAACACCACAGAGTCCGGTAGCGGTAAAAAAAATAACCCGGCGTTAAAACATGGTCGCGAAGTTCGCCATGGTGTTTTTCAAATCGGCGTTTCAAATGTTAAAAATTGTTGTTTGGGTTTAGCGCTTCTAGTGGGTAAATCTTATCTGCACAACGATCCTGACGCATACAAACTGAAACGCAACAGTAACATACCCCTAAGCAGTATATATACAGACGATGCTATTACAAACGTGTATACGACTAGCCAGCTACCCGTGGGGTCGCCCGTACGTACTGATCAATTACCTGACGTGTATGAGAAATATTTGAAATCGGACGGGATAGATTTGGTTGTTTTTTCCAAACAACAAGCCGACAGTATTGTGTACGATTCTCGATTAGGTGCCGATCAATGTTTACACCGCATTACGAATGAAGTTATTTTTTTATGGTTAAATGATAACCATTATGATTTAGTGACCTCACCGTACACGTTTGCGCATTTAAATTTGGGAAAGTTTTGTTTTTCGTGCATGCGATATTTCCGTCGACACGAACGAAAAAATACACACGTGTGTATCTTGAGTATGACATGTCACCGTTGCTATAGCAACACGTGCAAGTGTGAATCCGTACCCGGTTTTGTACAACAGTGTACAGAATGCGATGTTATTTTTTACAACCCCGATTGTTTTACCAAACATTTGACGCAAAGAGTGTTTAAAACATATGTAAACGGTTCGTTAACAACCGAGACGACGTGTCAACGTTTTTTTTTCTGTGTCGTCTGTTATAAAACGGTGATGCGTAGAACAATCACAACTAGCAAAAGGTATACAAAGCACAAATGTGACGAGATGTTTTGTATACATTGTAATAAAATGAAAAAGAAAGATCATCACTGCTATATTAAACCGGTTAAGGTGCATAAAAATGAATCACGACCCACTTTATATTTCTATGATTTTGAAACACGTGTAGATGAGGGTGATATATATATGATACCTTTTTATTGCATTGTGCAAAAAGTATGCGATGTTTGTGACGAAAAACCGTTTGTAAAAAATTACGAGCATTTTCTACCTCACCCTAGCGAGTCGTTTACCGATATTTCTATTGAACCGGTGCCTTGCTGTGGTTATAGACAATATGTTTTTGAAAAAAACAACGATGATATCGTGTCGGATTTGATCGATTTCATGATGGCACAACCGAAGAATAGTGTGTGGGTGGCGCATAACGGCGGTCGATTTGATAGTATTTTCTTAATGCGCGAATTATTAGTCCATCGTAAACTCGTACCCAACGTTGTAATGAACGGTAGTAAGGTTATGTCTTTAGAATTGGAAGAACGTAATTTGAAAGTAAGTGACAGCTACCTATTTCTTTCGATGAGGCTGGCAAAATTTCCCGAGGCTTTAGGGATTGAAAACGTGACGAAGGGGTATCATCCCTATTTGTTTACAGATTTGAATTATGTTGGCAAGATGGTAGGGTTAGAATATTTTGAACCACCCCCAGAGGGTAGCGAGGAGCAAAAAGCTTTTGATAAGTGGTATAGGCAACAACAGAGCAAACCAACCGTACGTGTTCCGTGAGGCTATATATTATTATTGTCGTTTGGATGTGGATATTTTAAGACAGGGCTGTATCATATTCTCCAGACTTATCTATCGAATTACGGGTGTATTACCCTTTTACGACCACACATGCAATACTGTGGCGGGTTTGGCTTTAAAAATATATCGCAAAAATTTTTTAAAAGAAGAGCAAATTGGGCAGGTTCCCGCATGTGGTTACGGTGGTGTGAATATTAATCAAAGTGCGATTGCTTTATGTTGGTTGAAAGATATTGAAACTATGCTAGATGAAAGCGATCTAAGATTGTGTAGTAAGCTTAGTGTTGGTGGTGAGCGGCGTATAATGGGGCATTATGTTGACGGGTATTGTGAAGAGACCAAAACGATTTATCAGTTTCACGGTTGTTTCTATCACGGTTGCGAACGTTGTTACGACGGTGCTTGTTACAATAGCGTTTTATGTACAAAATTTTTTACACTTTTGGGTAGTACGCAACGCTTATCGCGAATGTTTCGACAAGCAGGGTATACTATGGTGGCCGAGAACTGCCATTCAATATTTCAGTAAAAAAAATAAATAAAAGAAAACGAAATAGAATTTATTATAAACAAAAAAGAAAAACAAAATGAATTTAAAAAAATAATAAATAAAAGTAAAACAAAATTAAAACAAATTGAAATGTTTTTCAATTTAAATTAAAACAAAATAATTCGAAAATAAATTGAAATTTACACATGGCCTAGAGCTGCCATAGTATACCAGAATGCCTTGCGAGCGCAGTATTGCAAACATGGCGTACTTTCGAAACAGTAGCTGGCTCGAAGATGAACAACTTAAAGAGGACATTTCAAAATATATACGAGAAGGACTCCAACGTGCTGAGATTATGGACTTCCTAAAAAGAGATTTTCCGCAGTATGCATGGAGTATGCGCACTGTTGATAGACGAATTGAAGCATTCAACATCAAACGGATCGACAGAGATGTGACAGTTGACCAAGTCAAGAATGCTGTTCAGAAGGAATTAGATGGGCCTGGCCAATTGCTTGGCTATAGAGCCATGCATAAAAAGGTCAGGCAAGAGCACAATTTGAATGTTCCACGAGATCTTATTCACGCTGTTATGGTTGAGCTAGATCCTGAAGGTCTACAAGAACGCGGGGGGGTTGGTGTTAAGAAAACAAATCGTGGAAAGGGAAATTTTACCACCAAGGGGCCCAATTGGGTGCACTCCTTAGACGGGCACGATAAGTTAATGGGCTATCAGAATTCAACATTCCCTTTGGCAGTGTATGGCTGCATTGATTCTGCAAGTCGAAAGTTATTGTGGCTGCGTGTATGGGTGAGCAATAGTGATCCCAAGATAATCGGCCGCTGGTATTTGGATTACTTATATGAGAGCAAAATTTTGCCGACATATTTAAGATTAGACAAGGGTACAGAGACCGGCATCATGGCAACGATGCATGCATTCCTTCGTGGAAATCATGGTGACATGGACCCAGACGATACAGTAATATATGGACCCTCAACTTCTAATCAAGTAAGTTATATATTATGCCATGTTTTGTGTTGAATTGCAACCATCTGTAATTGACATTTTGAAATATTTTCCATGGTACCTTGTGGTATGTAAATATGTAGGCATACAAATCAGGAAATATTGGCCATTCTATTTAATGAACCCCCCCCCCCCCATGGACGAGGTCAATACAATTTGAACCCCTAAGAAAAAAGATCAAAGTGCCGACACAAATACCCCCTCAGAAATTAAAAAATTTTTGCCTTACCCCTCATAAAAAAACGCAAAGATCAAAGGATGCCGATGCACACAACCCCTCAGAAACGGCTTTTCCAAACCCCCTCAGAAATTCTCGTGGGGGGGGGGGGTATGTTGAGTGGAATGGCCTTATTTGGGTGGGGAAAATTTTTACGATTCTTGAGCTTTTTGCTAGCTTCCAAGGTATTAGCTATGTCTTTGAGGCCATATCACTGTGGCTTGCTCTATGCATACTGTGGCTTCACTAACTGTATAAACAAAGTCAGTATTTGCATTTGCCAATAATTATTATCTCAATTCCATCAGCTTTAATGTAAAGTGTGTATGCTTACTTGACCGGTGTACAAATGCAAACAGTGCAAACTTTGATATACATATGGCGTACATTTGTTTGCATAGTAATTGGAGTTATCAAATTTGGACCAAACAGGTTTACTAAAAAGGTATATTTGGAACTTTTGTACATTCATATTTAAAAACTGGGGGTTCAGTTACCACAATAAAACCCTTTTCTTGCTGGAAATCTTTCTTTCTTTTTTGCCTTAAATGTCCTGCAATTAAAATTTATAATATACCAATTCTATCATGGTTGTAAATTAAAGGTTTGTTACACAGTTATTCAGCTAGAATTCATAGACATAGGCTTTCAGAATGGTTTTAATTGGGGAAGTACAATTTCCGCTCAACCCTTTAGTGTCTACCTGTAAACCACAGAATGTCTGTTCTAATCAAGTCTGTTTAACTGCATCCTAATAGATTGAGCGTTGGTGGCGGGAGCTCCACGAACGTTTAGAGAAATACTTTAAGCATCATTTGAACTGGCTGAAGAACAATAACGAGTACAATCCATCCAGTCAGACTGACAGGTACATGTACAATATGTAACCATTTTAATATAATATACACAAAATTGATCAGTATTAGATGTTCAAGCTTATATTTCACTAAATTACAGAATGCTTCTTGCCTTTTTGATGGTGCCACTTCTGCAAAGAGAGCTTGGTGTATTTAAAGAGACTGTTTGGAACACGCACAGAATCCGTACACAGAAAGGTACAAATCTTCCAGCAGGGGTGCCAAACCATATATACAACTTTCCTGAACAATATGGACTTGAAGAGAAAGGTACTGTTAAATTAAACAAAATATTTTGTCACTAAAGTCTATATGTAGTTCTATTTAGCCAAATAAAATTTCTTAAGTAATTTGCCTTGACCCATTCCTTATTCTTTCCTGTTTTGAAACCAGACAACCTGGGTACTAGATTATTTTAATTTGTAGGTTGGGCTGTGAGCGAAGAAGAATTACAAGAAGTGGCAATGAATTCAGGTGTTCTTGAAGTTGAAACAGATTTCCTAGAGGAAGATTTTCGGGCAGAATGTGAAAGAGTCTTACCATACCCTAGTAAAGTAGAGCCCAGTGAATGCAGAGATGCATTTTTATATCTGAAAGAGAAATGTAATTTCCAAACATCGTCAGCCTCATAATCAATTTTGGTTTACTACAGTTACATTGTAAATTTAAAATATTTCAATGGATGAATGGTTGCATTTAATAACTGGACTGGAGAAGTTAACAAATCAATAGACACCTTTTATGGAATAAACACCCCCTTAAAATACCCAATGCCCAGGGTGTTTATCAGCCAGCCTCAGTGGGAACAAGGTTGGGTGTTTATTAGATAATTTATGGTGGACATGTAAATAGTCCAGGTGAGGCAGTTAATTGATAAAATGGAAAAAATCGATGTTTTTTGTAAACCAATTCAACCAACATTATTATTATTTGGAAAAAACTGTTTGAAACTCAGTAAAATTGGAACAAACAGCACACATAACAGTAGCTTACCAATTACATGTTACCATTTAAATACAACTGTTTTTAAAACTAGCATGAAGTTTAATCTAGCTTGAGTATTTTTTGACATGTTATAAAAATTTGTTCTCAGATGGATTTTGGTTTTCCCCCTGAACCATGTAACTAAACAATAACATTTAGTAATACTATCTCAAGTTAAATACTGGTGTCCAAATAGGCACAAAAGTTTTATAAAAATAAGAACGGATGAATATTTATAAGCAAAACATCAGTCTGAAAGCTTAAATGTTTGTTATGCACTAAGTGGACTCAAGCCAGCAAGAGTGCAAAATGTTGTGCACTTGTGCTTGCTAATAAAGTTTTCGATTGCAATATGTGCTAGGTTCCCAGTGCAGAAGAGAAACTGACTATCGTCATAAAGACTAGATGTAGCAATTTCAGGATCATATAACTGGTAGCTGCTCCCCTGAATGTCGACCACCATGAGTTTTGTGCCAGATCTTTCATAAGAGAAATGTGAAAGGCACTGTGCTTTCTGCCCAATGACATTATTGCCACTGACACAAGGAATACCATTGTTGTTGATATATTTTACAAATTCACCTGACACAAATTCTTCAACAGTCAAAGATTCACCTTCGTCTGTCTTGCCCAGAAAAATCTTTCGGTACTTTAGATGTGGACCATACTGTTCAGCCTTGCCTGCATCTTTCAATATTTCTTGCTTAAGTTGAAGAGCAAAGTTGCGTGCAAGCATATGCATTTGAACAACCTTCTTGTTGTGGTCTTCCAGAGAGTGGTTTGTTGCTTGAATAGTTTCAACAGCATCAGGCAGATATTTCTTAATGACCCAAGAACATTTCTTGAATTCTGCATTGTGAGTGGTAGCTTTGTAAGCACTTCTGAATCCCCCTTGACCCAAAGGGTTTGCTTCAACCAAAAACTCTACAGTTTGTGCAACCTTGAATTGAATTGAATTTGTTTTTGCCACTTTACAAAATTGTTTACAAAAGAAAGAACGAAAACACACACACACAAAAACTAATTTAAATCACAATTATGGCCATAGGATTATAATTGAATGGGGTGCCTTGGGGTAAGTACCTCAAGGTAAGGGCCTTGGTATCTTACAAGGGGTGCAACTGTTGGGGGGGGGGGTGTGGACTCCCCCCCCCCCAGATTAGAAATGGTATGATAGTTCTAAGGCAAATTTTGCCTAGTGTTGGGCTGTATGTCAAGCAAAGCAGTTTTATAAAATGATTAATGTAATGATTAAAAAGTGTTAATTCTGGTCAAGTCTGGGGAAATTTATGAAAATATTAAGGAAAACGAAATGAGTTATGGTATGTTGAGAAAATTTTTGTATGCTCGTATGTCCAAAATTTTTTTTTGTATGTTGACATGTCTGGAAAAAATTGTATGTCAATGTCCCCCCCCCCCAACAATTTTGGGAAATTAAATATTAATGGTCATTCCAGAAAAGATCCACACTCCTCCCCACGGAGGAAATTTCTGCCATCCGGAAAGGGAGGGGAGATAAAATTGTTTGTGATAATAGTAAATGTATTAGGACATCGGGAGAGGGGAGGGGGTTAACTTCCAATGGGGGAGGTATGGATGTTTTCTGGAATGACCCAATTAGTGGTTTGTGACATGCCTGAGAGGAAACCACACCCTTTTGTTGGGCAAGAGAACACACACCCTATTCCTGGGTTTCACGGCATTATTCAGTGTCGGGGGGGGGGTCAACCTCAAATGTATTGATGTTTACGCTGTACTGGAGTGAGGAAATTATATGAAATTCAATGTATTTGCCACCAAACACAATGCTAATACATAAAATGAACAATCAACTCATTCTGATAACTCTGTTTTGTTCTAGAGCTGACCCCCCCCTCAAAATGTTCTAGAGCTGCCCCCCCCCCACAATGAAACCCAATAATACACCCTTCCGGAAAGTATGTCACTTTGGCTATAGAGCCTCGTTTTCGTGTACCTGACATTAGTCAAAGTCTGATGTTTCAGTCATGAAAACGAGGCTCTATATAGCCAAGGTGACGTACTTTCCGGAAGCATGTATTTAAATACGTACGGTACAGACAATTGTCTAAAGTTTGTTCTACAAGTCATCAGATTTACCTTGGACCAAGTCATCAGATCTATATCAAATGTGTACATATGGACAACCGTTGTCTTTCGTGAGTCAACTATCTTCCCAAGTTTCATCATGTCTAGCACAGACAAGCTTTTTGGGTAACATTTACTAGGACTTCCATTTGAAATTGCTGGTCGCTTAGCCTTAGATTCCGGAAAGCTGCTTGAAAAACATGATGTACGAGCAGATTCCACTTTCCTTTTTCGTACAGCTGATGGAGCAGGTGGCAAGCTGCTAGTGTTCCCTAAATCTGCTTCGACGTCGTCGTCGACAACATCGATGCTTGAACGAGGGATAAAGCGAACATGAATCAACTTGCTGTTTGGTATGTGGTTAACACTTTTACAAGAGGGACCCTGCTCTCCAGCCAGCACATCGCAGCATACATTCTTACCCACTTTGTGAGCGAAATGTTTTTCACAAGCTTTCTTAATATTCTCGATAGTCACTTCCTCGAACTTGTCGAATGGAACAAACTCACGAGGGCCAACACGAAGGTATTTTTGAGCTTTTCCTGCAACTTCCGCGGACAACTGTTGAACAACAAGCTCCTCTGTTTTGTTAAACGTATCTCCACTTTTTTTTTTCGAGGTTTTCATTCGTTTTTGTTTCATTTGCTCCTTGTAATCTCGCCATGCTTGAGCAGCCATGTCGGTGTTTGCAATACTGCGCTCGCAAGGCATTCTGGTATACTATGGCAGCTCTAGGCCATGTGTAAATTTCAATTTATTTTCGAATTATTTTGTTTTAATTTAAATTGAAAAACATTTCAATTTGTTTTAATTTTGTTTTACTTTTATTTATTATTTTTTTAAATTCATTTTGTTTTTCTTTTTTGTTTATAATAAATTCTATTTCGTTTTTTTTTATTTTTTTTTTTTACTGAAATATTGAATGGCAGTTCTCGGCCACCATACATATGTAAATACTAAATGGTACATTATATGGAGCAATGCAAACTGGAACAAAACAACAATTGTCAATTGAAGTTCTAATTTTGGGAAATTTAGTAACAAATATAAAATCCCTAAACAGCTCATCGATTTGTATGTTTGCGCTATTAAAAGTAGACAATATTGAACAATGAACTGAAGTTGTCATGCAACTGACAACAATATTATATTTCCAAATAGTAAAATACCTGTATATGATGATATTTTACAAATATCTCGGGATTTTTGGACCAATGTTAAACGAACCAAGGCAAAAAGTCTCCATTCAAGAACATATCTTCTTCTCAAAAGGTAAAATACTTAAAATACTTGATTAAATTGTTTACTTCGACGGTATGTAAATTAACAGCGTTTGACTTGCAAGACGTCAAAAACGGACGATTTTAACGCGCTGTCGTTTATCGCGTATTCATTTGCCAAAAGAAGTATTTACGTCAATTGAAAGCTGATCGATTTGGAGCTTTATCGCATGGTGAAAATCGGTTTTGTTAAGAGGGTATCGTAAATGAAGTAAGATAGTGTGCTCCAAAACTACGATTATATCTATTCCTAAAAGTAACTCAGATTTCCTGTAAGTCATGTATACCGAAAACAAGATTTTTAGGGTTTTAGATCGATTAGAAACGGTTGTCGTCGTAAAATTTATCTGTAAAATCAGCGCATATTTCCCCAGAAAAAAATGGCGATTTAGGGTGGTCGTGTTAAAACGGCGTTTTCTCCAAGTTAAAAAAGTATTTGACCTAAAAAAATATATGGTGCATTTTCCGATATAATAAGCTATATCTGGGCAAAATTTGAGCAAAATCGATTTTTCAGTCGTGGCCGCGAAATGTCTCATATGTTCGATTTTTACTGACATTCACTCTTAAGCCCATTTTACACTTTCGCCATTTCGTTCGCCGTCCCATCCTCGATTACGTTAATTTTTAAACAACATTTCCAGTTCACTTTTTATGCACTACTCTGATTCTCCATTTAGCATGCGAGCCTCTAGTCCTGGACTATAGGGTACGTTTTGATTTACTGTACGCTCGACAAAGCTACAGTTCGGTTGGACACCAATACACTCGGGTCGGACAAACAATAAACCTCAGTTTCACTTAGGTCGGACAAAATGTCCGGTGGTTTCCTCTTTACGTCGGACAATTTCACGAATGTGTCGGACAATGTCCGCGACCCACCGATATTTTAAGGCCTGTGTCGAAGTTCTCCTTGTATTTTTCAGGTAGTTGTATTCCTATCAATCCGAAGCTTTCGTACATATTTCCCCGCAGAATTTTTAGTTGTTTTCAATCGGTTTCAGTGTAAAAAGTATCAAATTTTCGATGAGATTCTAAATAATTTGTTTATATTTTGCAACAATTGCTGAGCATGTGTAGAACACACGTTGGAAATCCAACGTACTATCTGCTGCTAGCCAATCGAACGGGCATGCTCGGGGAATGAGATTGTACTTATATGAAACACTATGCAGGTCATACACCGTATACACACACCTGGTTTATATATAATGTTTGAACTTGAATTTATACTAGTCGCATTCAAAGCCGGGCTACCTATTGCTTCTTCCTAGCCACGCAGGGGCAAAACTACCATGAGTGTGTGTGTGTGTGGAGAAGATGTCACACACCTCCAGTCTCTATGTTGTCAGGTATGTCCATACAATAGACAATTCCCATTATAGACTAATTTGAAAATTAGGTAAGGGAAACTAAAACAAATCACCACAGCTAGAAAGAGCATACTAAAATTAGTAAAATTACAAAGTTTGGTTGCGAAATGTTGTAAAATGAGGAAAGTATAGCCTTGCAAAGTTCGCAAATTTTGGTATACTTTTGTATTGCTTGCGGAAATTCCAAGCACATTCCTACCACATTTAGGCCGAAAATGTCGCACGCAATACAAAAGTATACAAAATTTGCAAACTTTGCAAGGCTATATTTTCCACATTTTACAACATTTCGCAACCAAACTTTGTAATTTTACTAATTTTGGTATGCTCTTTCTAGCTGTGGTGATCTATTTCCATCTCCTTGCCTAGTTTTAAAATTAGTCTGTAATGAGAATTGTCTATTTCATTGGGAAAATTTTGAAAATATTTGAGTGTCTCAGATTGAAACAAAATAGTTGTAGGAAAATGATCTGTCCACACGCCAACAATATTGGGAAAAGAAATTGAAATCAGGATTGAAATGACAACTTCAGTCACACCTTTCTGGTCGGGCAAAACAAGCTCCCCCCCCGCAACCCAACCGAAACACTGAGTTTTGGCACTCCCCATAATTCAGCGTTTTTAGCAGAATTCTTAGCTGTTGAAAGTGCAAAACGGAAAAAGATGATCGATCATATTGTTTGTAACGGGGTTGATTGGTACACGTTTGGTGCCTTCAGCCCATGAACCGGAGGTTTTGAGTTACTGGAAGTTTGAATTATTATAAGGCATATGCTAATTGATTTTATGTCAAATAATGAATTATGTCAAATAATGAATTTTCGGCGCAGTTTCATTATGTTATATAATGAAAAAATTCTTTTACATTATATTATATCATGAATGAACTGAAAAGTCATTATTTGATATCATAGTGTAATGCTTAGCATTATATCAAATCAGGATTTACACAAATGCTAATGATATTATATAATGATTTTGTCAAAATTTTATATTATATAATATCATAACTTTTCGGAAATTCATGACATGATATAATGCTTATTAGTATAAACCTACTAGTAGGCTATCACATATCGTGCCTTCTGATTGGCTACGCTACTAGTAGGCTATTAGTGATAGCCTACTAATCGAAAATTCAAAATGGCGGAAAATTCGCGTTTTTGCACTTTTGCCGAAGTGTCTGATGATTTTTGGACGACTTGTTGAACAACTCTGTACTAAAAAACCCTGAAAAAAGCAACAAAAATATGGAATGGCAATTTTTAAGGGCAAGAAAATAGACAAAATAACATACACTCAATGAAATTTTAAAATCAATAAAACTGAATTTTGTAAAACATTTTACGCGAACAAAAACTAAAATATTTGTTTACATTTAATGGTTTTTGTGTGTATTTTTGTATTGTGTCTGCAGCCTAGTTGTAAATTGATGTTAAAGTTTATACTAAAACAATTAGACAACTCGGCCTCGTTGTCTATGAGCAAATAGTCAACTCGGCTTCGCCTCGTTGACTATTCGCTCATAGACAACTCGGCCTCGTTGTCTAATTGTTAAATGTCAATAACAGTATATCAAATAACAACAAAAACAAATAAGTCATGATTTGATATAATGTCTGTTCGTTTATCAATTATTTATATATCATGACAGTTTTGGTCATGATATATGATATAACTGTGCAATTGTCAATTGTAACCCCCACCCCCCAACCTCGGAGAAAGGTGGGGACATGTGGTGCGTTTTTCCTCTTTTGACTCTTAGTTATGCCTGACTAGGTGGGGGATTCTCTTCTTATGGATCCCCGACCCGGGTATATGGGGCATTTATGTGGGAATGTATGCAGCCTCCTGGGGGCTATTTATATGTGAGGCGGGACGGGACGTTAGCCGGGACGGAACGATGAACGGGATCCCGGCTTGTATAAATTTCTATTTTATTATATAAACATAAGTGTTATATAGAGTTTTTGGCCACTGAGACAAATCGTATTTAAACACACGTAAAAAATACGATATTTTTACGTACGTGTGAAAATATCATTTGTTGTAAAATGCATTGCCACGGACGTTTTATTGTTTTTCACTGAATTTTGTTTATATATAATAAACAGAAAAATACATGGGTGCTTGGAAATACCAGATTTATTTCTCGTGTTGAACATGATATCTCACTCGTTTCGCTGCGCTCACTCGTGAGATATCATGTTCAACACTCGAAATAAATCTGGTATTTCCGCGCATCCATGTATTACTCTCTATATATTTATCACCAGATGTTTATTTGGAAGCGGGACGTTTTTCGTCCCGTCCCAGGCAAGCGGGATCCCGGTTTGTTCAACTGGGATCCCGCTCAACCGGGACGTTTTCTTCCATGTAAATACTTAATTGTTGCCGGGACGGGATGGAAGGTGGGATGATTTTGGTGTATTGAAATACATGACTAGGCTTAAACAAACGGTCAAACACAGGGTAAAGAAACTCAAGTGTTGTCAGAGAAGATCTTGTAGTTCAAGATGATTATTATTGCTGCTTCAACAACCTTTCGTTTACAATTATACTGTAATCTATCACTAGAAAAATAATGTGAATTTGCTAAATCGTGCACTGTTACTTTATTTCAATACGTCAAAATCATCCCGCCTCACATCTCGTCCCGGCAAAGCGGGATCATGTAAACAGCTCCCAACCGGTATGTATAAATCGTCCCGTCCAGGCAAAACGTCCCGTCCCGCCTCTCATATAAACAGCCCCTAAGATTGTACTGTTGAGCCTGAGTCTGATCTTTTTAAATTAATTAAAGTCAATTTTAGTTGTGCCACAGGTCATTTTTTGTTTGTACATAAAAGTTCTATATTCTGTTTCTTTTGCTCTATAGTGACAAAATAGATTATTACATGTTCAGTAGCCAATCTATTTTCTCACAGAATAGCAATATTATTTGCAATAATTTGCATATTTTTCATGTACATCACTGATATTACTTTTATTTTGAAAATAAAAATCTTTGTTCAATAAAACATTT